AGAGAGAGAGAGAGAGAGAGAGAGAGAGAGAGAGAGAGAGAGAGAGAGAGAGAGAGAGCATCTTGGGCGAGAGAGAGAGAGAGCATCTTGGGCAGAAGCAAGCACATTAATAATGGGACCCCAACGGGGAGCCACTCCTTCCTGTGAACCAAGCACCCTGAGAAACCAGTTTACACGAGGCTGTTTTTAATTCTAGCCTTCTAGGTGAGCCATGGCCATATTTTTCTGATCTTGTGACCGTCTTTCACGGGTTTACTACTCATGCCATCGCTCTTGTTGCAATTAACTCTATGTAGTAAAATTCTTCAGGCGGTACACGCGCCCAACTGATCAAACGCATAGGGGGGGGGTTGGGGGAGAGGAGGGGGGGGAGCAAAAGTTGCAAAACCTGGATTGGCGTGCCCGTCAGCAGAAGACGATGATTGCTCTGGTACTGTTTGAGGTCTGCATTGAGTTTGCAAGCTGCATTCTTGATGCGATGGCCCTCATCGATGATGATGTAATGCCAATTGATCTTGCACAGTTTAGGTCGATCATGGCGGTTCATCATGTATTCATACGTAGTTATCAATGCATGGAAGTTTCTGCCGGCGACTTCCTCCCTGTACAAGGCCAAAAGGAAACGCCACAAGGAGAGTAGGGAGAGCCACAACAACAGTAGAAAAAAGTAAAAAAAAAAAAAAAAACACAATCACAACAGGGAAAACCATACGGACGATAGGGAAAACCACAGAAGGCCGAAAGCACAACCGCAGAGGCCTTAGTAATCAGGCGCATCCATCCCTCCATTTTTCATCCCCTTGTGGTCAGTACCCACCACATCCGTTACTCGCAAACAACGGGGGAGGCGGCTGGCATAACCAAAGGTCCAGGAAGACCTCTATTCAGTCCAGAACAGCGAGTACCATGATCAGAATGTTGCCAAATATTGGTGGATGATGCAGCACAGGGGGTCGATTGGGAAGGGGGTAAGGGGGTGAAGAAGGAAGACCGGCACCACTTACACATGTATAGGCGGTCCAAGGGCTTTGAGGGAGAGGGGAGTGAATTCACTGTCAAACTGTGTCAATTTCTTTTCTTTCAGCTTACAGTGATAGGAGCAAGAAATTGAAGAGGAGCAGGATTTGATGCTGCCTCTTGGATAACCATACTCGAAGAGGGTTTTAACTTTTAACTTTTAACTTTTTAACTTTTCTCTATCTCTATACTACTAAAGGAAGAAGCGGACCAAGCGTGGGGCCCAACAGAAACCGGGTGCAGCCGCGCGGGACCGCTCTCGGGCAGCGGGCAAGGGGGAACCGACGGACCGCTCTCAGGCAGCGGGCAAGGGGGAACCGACGGTGTGCCCGTGTTGGTAAGTGGCGGTGTCGAAAAAGGGCCGAGCCCGGGACCGGGAACGAAACCAGATCCGAACGTCTCCCGCCAGGTGGGGAAGATACAGTACCACTTTTTGTTTTTCTGACCCGTGACTTTCGTTCTTTCGAGAGCCGTCGACGGCTCCGGGCCCAACAACGACACCGGATCTGAATCCGTCGTGCAAGGTCGGGAAGATACACTGCCACTTTTTTTTTTTTTTTTGGGACCCGTGAGCTCCGTTTTTTCGAGAAGTGTCGACGGGTTTCGGATCGCAGGCACACGTGCAGCAGCCGATTGTACGGGAACGTACATACGTCAGCACTTCGACACGTGCGATGAAGCGGGCGATTTTGCAGCGAGTGGCGATGAGAGAGAGAGAGAGAGAGAGAGAGAGAGAGAGAGAGAGAGAGAGAGAGAGAGAGAGAGAGAGAG